CCCCCCAAAAAAAAAAAATAATAATATAAAATAAATAAAAATAAAAAATATTCTAACCGCAGCCTGTCACCTCTTGCAGGAGAGGCACTCGGCTGCTGATCTCAAGGATGCCGCGTCCTTCTACGAAAGCGGCCTAGGGTTCTGTGCTGGCTGTAAGGTTCATGTCCTAGCTCTTTGGGTTTAGGGTTTAGGGTTTATGGAAAGTTCTAACATAGGGGCCTTAATAATTAGAATAGGGTTTTGGGGGCTCCTTATTATAGTTATAGTACGATGGGCCCCAAAACCCTATTCTAACTGTTAAGGCCCCTACCTAGACCCCCCAAGCACCCTCTAATATGGCCGAAATACCCACTATTAAGGACCGTAAGGGCTCTATTAAAGGGCACTTGGGGGTTGCTGGTACCTAGCAGAGGCTCAGGGCCTGCGGGGGTGAGGGTTGAAAGCTGATAATTTGCAGATTGTGCATCTTTATATTGGTAGTTTTCCAAATTAGGGTCCCTTTTGGGGTCCTTTTTATAAGGGTGCCGTACTATATTGGGGACCTAAACAGGGACCCTAATTTAGAAAACTACCCATATGGGAGTTTCCGAGAATGAGGGGTAGCGTATTGTGGGAGTCCTTATCATAAAAATGATCCTTAGGATCCGATCCTTCTATTTAGAGTACTGTGCTAGGGTCCCCTATTTTCGAAAACCCCCATATGTTAGCGTTGCAGAGGAGTGTTCACGTTCTTGATTCAGGGCCTCAGGCTCATTAGCCTGTGTTAAAGGCTTCAGCTGTTTCGTTCACTGGGTTAGATCAGGATATAGGTGTAGGCGTAGGGTTCACGTTGTTGGTTTGGGCTTCGTTTTTGAGTCGATTCGGGTTGCTTTCATCCTTTGTGCCTTCAAGAGACGGGCTGCAATATCTCAGCACCCCGGGCTCCATAAAACCAGAGCTCAGTTCAGTTTTTCTCGACCTGCCTCAGATCTGCCAGGACCCCCGAAATACACTTCATCACTAGGCAAAAAGGGGCATGCAGAAAGGGTACTTAAAGGATCATGGGACTTAGTAAGTAGGGTTATAATTAGGGTACCTAGACTAACCAATTAAGGGACGTATAACCTTACTTACTAAGTCCCATGATCCTCCAAGTAGCTGGAGGATCTTTAAGGAACCATAAGGGAGTTTCCGAAAATTAGGGGTACCTTATTTTGGGTCCCTTATAATAAGGATCCTACTATTTAGGGTACTATATTAGGGCCCCCCATTTTCGGAACCCCCCATAAGGAATCTGTAAAGGATCGTATAAAGAGGTCCACAGGCGCGCAACCCTGGAGCTGAACCGCTACACAAAGCCCTCGAAACCCGTCACTCCGATGCGGAGGCTTCCGAAAATAGGGGACCCGAAGATAGTATACCCTAAATAATAGGATCCTTATTATAAGGACCTTAAGATAGTATACCCTAAATAATAGGATCCTTATTATAAGGACCCTAAGATAGTATACCCTAAATAATGGGATCCTTATTATAAGGACCCCAACATAAGGTACCCTTATTTTCCGAAACTCCCATACTTTAAACTTACATTTAAAGGCCTAGATAGTGGCTCAAAGCCATCTACCTGAACCGCCCTGAATCCTACAGTGATCCCTGCAAGACGGTTCCGTGAGCTCTATCAATTCTAAAGCCGACCACGCCCTAACCCTAAACCCCGAACCATCTGTCAATTCTCTAATTCCCTAAACCCTGAACCCTCTGTCAATTCTGAAGCCGACCACGTCCTAACCCTAAACCCTAAGTTTGTCGAGCGCCCTGCGCTTCCCCCCTAACCTCCGAACTACTCGACCCCTTCAGGGCTTTCAGAGCACCCTGAACCCCAAACCCTAACCTTTCAGAGGTTTGAAGAGCCTGGAGGCGCCTTAACAACAGCAACACTAGTGATGATAATTATACCCATAGGCCCCATAGTAGTTCCTTTTTGTGGCTTATATTCAGGATCTTACCATGTAATCCCAAAAAGGAGCTACTGTGGGGCCTATGGGTAACTACATTGGGTTCAGGGTTTAGCGTTACTATGTTGTTACTGCTACCACCGCTACCAGTACTTTAACTCCTATCCCTACCGTTGCCACGACCACTGCACTGCTAGAAAGCCAGAAAGTTGGAGCATAATTATCCTCATACTCTGAAGGTAGTCATCCCTAACCTATGTTTCGACTGTCTAGGGTTTACTGCATCCATGTCATAACAACAAAAAAGAGTACCAATAATCATCAGAACAGGAAAACAAATAACAAAAAAC